GATGTTTACGCACCGCACCAGGTACACATTTGAGGTTGAGTCGACCTAGGGGAGGCCCAGGACCGGTTCAGATAATCGTCACCGATGTTGCCGGTGAGCGGGAATCGAACTCGGGTCGACGGGTTCGTAGCGCAGTGCGCTAACCACTGCACCACTGCGCCACCGCTCCCCACTGTATACACAAGGACACATAATACACACACACATCACAAACACAGAGCATTATATTTTCGAGCATAATTTAATGAATTATTCGGCAAGCTCATGTCATTAGATTAGATTAAGGTCAACACACGCGAACATATATCTACAGGTTGGCACAAAAGTCAGGACACACAGCGTTATTTCATTTATTTTATTTATTGGAATTAAAACATTTTGAATCTTTATTCTTAAGGTATTTTTGTTATCTATTATCATTATTAACATCTACGTTCATTTTTCATTTTAAGAATGAAAAAATAATAATATATCGTAAAAAAATTACAAAACGTAATTCATGAGTGTTCAAAGATCACACCTATAATCTTACAAAAAAAATCTTCCATTCATTTCAAAAGACAATTCATGCATGCCCTCACGTGAAAATAAGTAAATTTTGATCAATTTGTTAAAATAAATTAACCAACCCTACGTGTCCTGAGTTTTGGGCCACCCGGTAACGTGGCGTGTGTGTGTGTGGATGTGAGACACCGTCTATGCACTCCTCGTATTTTCACACGAAGTGACCAACGTGCGAGTGACCTGCGACTCAAATGAACATCGCAGCATCGTTACTCACGTCTCCCGTTTACAGCCCGGCAGAGCCAGCGGTGGAAATTCCACATTTCTTCGGCGGGAGCGAGTCTCTTCCACACATAGAACAATCGCTGCTATTGACTTCCCCCCACAAAGTGGTACCTATTTTATCGACTCTAGAGTGATGATGTGCCGAGTCAACTGCCGAGCGCGAGGCGCTCGCTCTGCGGCTGAGCCACGCGGAACGGCATCGACGTTCCCATGTACACGTGCACATTCCACATTACTATGGCGGGGACGAGTCTGTCCAGCAGACAACCATTATAGAGGACACCACAAAAAAGTGGAACTCACTCGCACTCGTGTACACATCTATACAAAGACAAAGATCTCCCGTATAGTCTTCACATACTGTTGGGACAAGTGCTGTTAGCGAGCAGCAGCTCTAAAGGCCACACAGATACACACATGCGCCTGCTATGTATTTCGCGTACATTGATGCAGATGCTTATACAGCACACACACACATATACATGTATGTGTGTATGACAAATAACTCCTGTCGAGCCTACACAGACTGTTGGGGCCAGCGCTGTCAGCGGTCATTGACTTGTTACATCCGTCTTTATGGAGAGCGGTGGCGCAGTGGTTAGCGCACAAACCGGGCTGCCGATCATCAGTGGCAAGCCAAATGAGAGCCGAGCCCCGGCCTACCCCTAGGTCTACTCATCATTAAATGAGTACTGGGTGCAGATGTGTAAACATCGACATTGGATAGGCCAAGTCATATGCACATAAATGCATGCCAAAAGCAAAAGATTCCCGTATGGGCTTTGAAGGTTGTGCGGGCAAGTGCTGCTAGCGAGTAGCGCCTACGAAGGGGATGGTGTGGTCAACACAACGCCCCCCGGCCGCTTTTGTCTCTCCAGACGTCGTACGATTACACACCGCACACACACACACTCCCACCCGACACGTAAATAACACACACACACGTCATCAGTGCTACATAATCCGCGTTCTTTTCGGCAGAAGGGGCTGATGGTGCCGGAGGAGGAGGATGAGGAGGAGGAGGAGGAGGCGGGGCGGGTGGGGGGATGAGGTAAGGGGGGGAGGGGAGAGAACCCCCGAGGAGAGTGAGAGGAGGGTCGTGTGGGGGGGGGTGTAAGAGTGGGGGGTAGGGGGTAGGGGGCGATGGGTAGAACCACAAATATAAGGGGAAAAATGGAGGTAGGGAGAGAGCGAGAGGTAGGGAGAGATGGAGAGAGAAGGGGAGAGCGTGTAGGCCGGGAGAAGGTTGCTGATGGTGGCACACAGAGAGAGGGGGGAGAGGGAGGGGGGGGGAGTGTTGGGGGAGAGAGAGTGGGAGGCGCTGGTCCAATCACAGAGCGCTGCTGCGCGCCTCGCTCGGGGTTTATAATTAAACTGCTCGCGGAGCGGAGCGGCACACGAGACGCAGTGGCCGCGTGCACGGAGCGCGTGCGCACGCAGGTGCCGTCAGGTCGCAGCAGCATCATCATCAGCATCAACAGCAGCATCATCATCAGCAGAAGCAGCATCAGCAGAAGCAGCATCAGCAGAAGCAGCATCAGCAGAAGCAGCATCATCAGCAGAAGCAGCATCATCAGCAGAATCAGCATTATCAGCAGAATCAGCATCATCAGCAGAAGCAGCATCATCAGCAGAAGCAGCATCATCAGCAGAAGCAGCAAGATCATCGTCAGCAGCGGCATGACTGTCAGCATCATCAGCGGCAGCATTCGCGTCAGCAGCATCATCAGCAGCAGCATCATCAGAAGCATCATAATCAGCAGCAGCAGCATCATGATCTATCGACACACAGAGACGCACACATCGAGTAAGAAGAGCGCACGGACACCAGACGGGGGATCGGGGTACAAAGACGGACGCGGACGCATCACGACGACGGTACCTTCGTTCTCGTCACCTTCTTCCTCGTCGTCGTCGTCACTCCGATGAAGTCTTCCTTCACCTTCCTCCCTGCTGCTGCTGCTGCTGCCCACGCTGATTCTACTACGGCTGCCGCTCCTCTTACTGCTGATGCTGCTGTTGCCGCTACCCACGCTGATTCTACTACGGCTGCCGCTCCTCTTACTGCTGCCGCTGCTGTTGCCGCTACCCACGCTGATTCTACTATGGCTGCCGCTCCTCTTACTGCTGCTGCTCCTGCTGCTGCCCACGCTGATTGTACTCCGGCTGCCGCTCTTCTTGCTGCTGTTGCCGCCGCTGCTGCTGCTCCCCCAGCTGTCTTCACGGGCGAGTCTGGGGGGGGGGGGGGGTTCGGTGTTTGTGGCGAGAGGGTGGAGGGGCATGGGGGGGGTGGTGGTGGCGGGGGGGCAGTAGGGGTCTATTCACGCCGGGAGGAGCAGGAGGGAGACGAGGGGTGACCGGCCAGGGGAGAGGGGGGGAGATGCAAATGTGCGGCGCTAGTCGCTCACAATGCGTCTACTCTCCCACGCGCTCCCCCCCGCCCCCGTCTCTCTCTCCCCGTGTGCATCTCCCTCTCTGTGTGTACACGCAGCCCCCCGTCTCTCTCTCCCCGTGTGCATCTCCCTCTCTGTGTGTACACACATCCCGCTGTCTCTCTCTCCCCGTGTGCATCTCCCTCTCTGTGTGTACACACAGCCCCCCGTCTCTCTCTCCCCGTGTGCATCTCCCTCTCTGTGTGTACACACATCCCCCTGTCTCTCTCTCCCCGTGTGCATCTCCCTCTCTGTGTGTACACGCAGCCCCCCGTCTCTCTCTCCCCGTGTGCATCTCCCTCTCTGTGTGTACACACATCCCCCTGTCTCTCTCTCCTCGTGTGCATCTCCCTCTCTGTGTGTACACGCAGCCCCCGTGTCTCTATGTGTACACGTAGCCCCCACGCTCTCCCCCCCGTCTCTCTCCGTGTGCATCTCCCTCTCTGCACCCTGTCTCTGTGTGGACACACAGCCCGTGCCTCTGTGTGGACACACAGCTCGTGTCTCTGTGTGTGCACACAGCTCGTGTTTCTGTGTGTACACACAGCCCGTGTCTCTGTGTGTACACACAGCTCGTATCTCTGTGTGTACACACAGCCCCCGTGTCTCTGTGTGGACACACAGCCCGTGTCTCTGTGTGTACACACAGCCCGTGTCTCTGTGTGTACACACAGCCCGTGTCTCTGTGTGTACACACAGCCCGTGTCTCTGTGTGTACAAACAGCCCGTGTCTCTGTGTGTACACACAGCCCGTGTCTATGTGTGTACACACAGCCCGTGTCTCTGTGTGTACACACAGCTCGTGTCTCTGTGTGTACACACAGCTCGTGTCTCTGTGTGTACACACAGCCCGTGTCTCTGTGTGTACACACAGCTCGTGTCTCTGTGTGTACACACAGCCCGTGTCTCTGTGTGTACACACAGCTCGTGTCTCTGTGTGTACACACAGCCCGTGTCTCTGTGTGTACACACAGCCCCCCGTGTCTCTGTGTGTACACACAGCCCGTGTCTCTGTGTGTACACACAGCTCGTGTCTCTGTGTGTACACACAGCTCGTGTATCTGTGTGTACACACAGCCCCCCGTGTCTCTGTGTGTACACACAGCCTGTGTCTCTGTGTGTACACACAGCCCCGTGTCTCTGTGTGTACACACAGCTCGTGTATCTGTCTGTACACACAGTCCTGTGTCTCTGTGTGTACACACAGCTCGTGTCTCTGTCTGTACACACAGTCCTGTGTCTCTGTGTGTACACACAGCTCGTGTCTCTGTGTGTACACACATCCCGTGTCTCTGTGTGTACACACAGCCCGTGTCTCTGTGTGTACACACAGCCCCCCGTGTCTCTGTGCGTCTCTCTCGCCGTGCGCTCGACAGGACGCACGGCGATGTGGAGACGCGGCGGGGGAAGAGCGACTCGACTCTCCACGCGACTCTCCACCGGCTCAACGAGCCACCTCCTCCTCCTGCTCAACAATGCGACTCACAGGGGCGCGCTGAGCCCCCCCCCATCATCCTCTACCCCCCTCCCCGTTATCCTCTACCCCCCCCTATCATCCTCTACCCCCCCCCATCATCCTCTGCCCCCCCCCCCCCACTTATCCTCTAAACCTCCGCAATCACCCTGCACCACCCCCCACCCTGAAACTTTGTCTCCCCCACTCCCCACCCACCCCGTGCAGCCCCTCTCCCTCACCCCCCTCTACCCCCCCGCTCCCACCACCCCCCCCCCCCCCTGTACAACCCCCCCCCCTCTACAACACCCCCCCCTCTACTACCCCCCTCCCCCATCAACGCCCCCCACCCCACCCCCTTCCACCTCGGATGAAAACTCGGAGCCGCCGCGACTCAGAGGCGATTGCGCGGGCGACTTCGAGTCGAGCGCCACTGCGAGTCGCATCGGGGGGGGGGGGGGGGCGATCCGACTGAGTTGACGCGACTGGAGAACAACGCTCCTGCACGGCATTGTCCACTCATGGGTGTCGTCCACCTACCGACGTCTACCCCACAAGTCCCGTCCACCTACCGGCGTCATCCCACCAGCCCTGCCCCCATCTACCGGCGTCATCCCACCAGCCCTGCCCATCTACCGGCGTTCTCCTGATCAGCGGCGACCTCAACCCGGGATCCAACTCCACTCCGGGGACGCGAGGACGACGAGGTGAGCGACACGCGCAGAGCGCGCGACCGCGTGGGGGGGGAGCGGTGGCGCAGTGGTTGGCGCACCTCGCCCCGCAACTCGGCCGCGACCCCGAGGTCCATTCTCGCGCACGACTCAAGAACAGCCGCGAATATTTGAACCAAATTCTGTCCCCTCCTCTGGGTCGACTGAGCCTTAAATGAGCACGTGCTAGCGGGTGCAAACATCGCCGTTGGGGAGACAAAGGCGGCCGGCGTGATGCTGGTCTCTCATCATCGCCCATGTGTGCCGTGCCGACCCTAATGGGTGCTCGCTAACAGCGCTTTGCCGCAACAGCAAGTGGAAGCTATGCCGGGTGATCTTTGTATGCGAGTGCATTTCTGTGAACGTATACATGTCTACGTATACACACGCACATGATGCATGTATACACACACACACACTGTGTACATACGCTAAAGACAAAGAGCCCCAGTGTAGGCTGCACAGACTGTTGGGACAAGTGCTGTTTGCGAGCACCTATGAAGGCCGGCACGGCGCACGAGGGTGTGGGTGGCCAGCACCACGCCCGGACCGTCTTTGTGTTTCCAGTAGCGATGCGTACACATGGAACCAGGTTCTAATTTGAGGCTGAGTTGACCTAGGGGAGGCCCAGGACCGGCTCAGATAATCGTCAGTGATGTTGGCCGTGAGTGGGAATCGAACTCGGTTAGGAGCCGGGTTCGTAGCGCAACGGGCTAACCGCTGCGCCACCGCTCCCTACACACATACGCACGTGTACACACATACGCACGTGTACACACATACGCACGTGGACACACATACGCACGTGTACACACACACGCACGTGTACACACATACGCACGTGTACACACATACGCACGTGTACACACACACGCACGTGTACACACATACGCACGTGTACACACACACGCACGTGGACACACACACGCACGTGTACACACATACGCACGTGTACACACACACGCACGTGGACACACACACGCACGTGTACACACACACGCACGTGTACACACATACGCACGTGGACACACATACGCACGTGTACACACACACGCACGTGTACACACACACGCACGTGGACACACACACGCACGTGTACACACACACGCACGTGTACACACATACGCACGTGTACACACACACGCACACACATATACTTATACGCACAATGCCGATACCTGTAAAGACACAAGCACACACTAAGGCAAAGATCTCCCATGTAGCCTCAGCAATCTTTGAGGGCAAGTGCTGCACGTACGTGCAAAGCGATACGTGCTGCGTACGTGCGCACGCAGACACGCGTATATGCGCACGCATCGATGCGTACACAGACATGAAGACACGTACAAAGAGCACGGCACACAGTCGCCTCCTCCTTCCGAATGTCGCCGCGGGATCTTTAAAGTGCAAAGATAATCAGACGACGAGGAACACCCACGACGACGCTGAGTTGGCAGCGATGCACACGCAGAGTCAAACAACAACAACAACAACAATTTAAATATTAACAACACCGTGTCTGTGTGGCCTTGTATATATATAACAGACGACGTTTCAGGCCATTGCCCTTCTGCGTAGCAATTAAATCAGCATCAAGAGAGATCAGGTTCGCAGTCTGGGACCAGGATGGGCCAGGTTCGACTCCGCCGGCTAAGAGTCAGAATAAGTATTGGGACCTTTTCGGCAAAGTCAAAGTATGAAAAAAATAAGGATTGTTTTGCCCTTTCTGGCAATGAAACAGGAGTTGTTAAAATGTTCAAACAAAAACGTGCTTTCAGAACATATATACAATACTCTGAGAATGTATTTGTTAGTTTGCATGCTGTGGTTAAATCAGTACACGATTCCTTGCAAAAGGTTTCGATTTGATGTTGGAACATCTTAACACAACTCCTGTTTTATTGCCAGAAAGAGGAAACGCTATCCTTATTTTTGTCACGGAATATGTACTTTTTTCGGGAAGAATCCGATGAGCTATGAAGCTCTTTATCACAGATGTCCCGTCACTCTCCACGCTCGTAGCCCCCTCTCTCCGTGTTCACGGCGGACCTTGATTTAATGACAAACAATTAAGGCACGCGGTGAATGCCAAGAGAGGGCGGCTCATGTACCACAATCAACAACAACAACATCATCATCTAACCTCAAGCTCATTTTGATTCTAGCAGGTAAAGCGCTCACTGAGCTACATGGTAGCTCTTGTTCAGAAGCGACCTGCCTTTCACAAATTGTAGCTCAACGAAGTGGCTCATCATCATCACCACCACGTGGACATTTGTAGCGGTCAAATACTCGAGACGGACGGTGATTGTCATTGTGGAGGGAGCAACGAGAGGATCCGGAGAAAAATCCACGCGACCACGGGGAGAGAGACACAAAAACTCCAAATATACAGCAGCAGGCGTCAGGGTCGGACCCCACGACCTCCTGTATACCAGGCGAGGTAGTTAACATCTCGGCACCGGAGCGCCCCAACAACAATACCATCAACAACAATACCATAATCAACAACAATAGTATCAACAACAATACCATCAACAACAATAACACCATCAACAACAATACCATCAACAATACTACCATCAGCAATAATACCATCAACAACAATAGGCACACGCACACCCACACGCACATAAAAAAGGAAAAAACCCGCACGCACACTCACACACACTCGCCCACAAACACACTCACTCACCCACACACACTCATGCACACACACACACTCACCCATACACTCACACAATCACACTCACCCACAATTACCCCCACACACACACTCATCCACACTCGCACACACTCACGCACACACACACACACCGCAAGACCAATCGAGATATCAAGATAGATCATTTTTGTTGCAGCCATAAATAATAACAATAATATCAGCATAACAATAAAAGATCAAAACGAACAGGGGCACAACCGCCACCATCGACTCATTATACCGGCTCTTGTAATTGTAGCTGCTGCTGTTGTTGTTGTAGTCGATGTTGTTGTTGTCGTTGCTGTTATTGTGCTTGTTGTGGTGGTTGTTGTAGCTGCTGTAGTTTTAAAGGTCGTGGTTGTAGATGCTGGCGTGGTGGACGAGTGGTGGTTACATGGTTAGTAGCTGTAGCTTCTATGGTTGTAGTTGTTGCGATGGTTGTTGTTGCTGTTGTAGCTGCAGTTTTACTGGTTGCTGACTTTTGGTTTGATGAACCTGAGAGAGCACGTGACCTCGACACCCACCGACTTCTACCCCTACCTCACGCACACTCACTCACGAACACTCACGCACACACACTCACTCACGCACACTCACACACACTCACGCACACTCAACTACACTCACGCACACTCACCCACACTCACGTTCACTCACGCACACCCACTCACCCACACTCAATCACGCACACTCACCCACACTCACCTACACTCACACTCACTCACGCACACACACTCACGCACACTCACCCACACTCACGCTCACTCACCCACACTCACTGACGCACACTCACCCACACTCACGCTCACTCACCCATACTCACGCACATTCACTCACGCACACTCACTCACACTCAACTACACTCACGCACACTCACGCACACACACTCACGCACACTCACTCACGCATTCTCACACTCACTCACGCACACTCACTCACGCATTCTCACACTCACTCACGCACACTCACTCACGCATTCTCACACTCACTCACGCACATACACCCACACTCAAGGGCGCTCTAACACATACAAAGCCCTCCACAACATCAAACACACTCATTCACTCGAAATAACTCTCACGAAATAATGAATTCACGTACTCATCCACTCACACTCTCACTCACCCACTCTCTCGCTAACTCACTTAATAATTATCACTCTTCCACTCAATTACTAAACTCACACAATTACTCACTATCTCACTCACTCACTCTCGCTGTTCCATTCTCACACTCTTTCTTACACACTCACAATCTCACTCACACCCTCTTACACACCCATTAACTCACACGCTCACACACTCTTTCTTACACACTCACAATCTCACTCACACCCTCTTACACACCCATTAACTCACACACTCTTTTTTACACACTCGCAATCTCACTCACACCCTCTTATACACCCATTAACTCACACACTCTTTTTTACACACTCGCAATCTCACTCACACCCTCTTACACACCCATTAACTCACACACTCTTTTTTACACACTCGCAATCTCACTCACACCCTCTTATACACCCATTAACTCACACGCTCACACACTCTCACTCACACCCCCTTACACACCCATTAACTCACACGCACCTCACACACTCTTTCTTACACACTCACAATCTCACTCACACCCTCTTACACGCTCATTAACTCACACGCTCAAACTCTCTTTCTTACACACTCACAATCTCACTCACACCCTCTTACACACTCATTAACTCACACACTCACACACTCTTTCTTACACACTCACAATCTCACTCACACCCTCTTACACACTCATTAACTCACACGCTCACACACACTTTCTTACACACTCACAATCTCACTCACACCCTCTTACACACTCATTAACTCACACGCTCACACACGCTTTCTTACACACTCACAATCTCACTCACACCCGCTTACACACCCATTAACTCACACGCTCACACACTCTTTCTTACACACTCACAATCTCACTCACACTCATTAACTCACACGCTCACACACTTTTTCTTACACACTCACAATCTCACTCACACCCGCTTACACACCCATTAACTCACACGCTCACACACTCTTTCTTACACACTCACAATCTCACTCACACCCTCTTACACACCCATTAACTCACACACTCTTTCTTACACACTCACAATCTCACTCACACCCTCTTACACACCCATTAACTCACACGCTCACACACTCTTTTTTACACACTCGCAATTTTAACTCTCATTCTCACCCTCTCACTCTCTCTCTCTCTCCACTCTCACAAAGCCGCGTCTCCTCGTGCGGCCGAACAGAAGCCCTCAGCGAACAATGAGTGGTCGGGGGGGGGGGGGCGAGACGGGGTGGGGGGCAGTGTAAAGGAGGGAGGAGGAGGATGATGGGGGAAGGGGTGTAGGATGATGAGGAGGAGGTAGCAGCTGGGAAGATGTGGGGGGTGTGAAGGGGGTTAGGGGGGGGGGGGCTCAGAAGCTACTACACAAAAGCCGTGTGCCCTAACATACAAAGGCAAAGATCCCCCGTATAGGCTTTACCAGACTGTTGGGGCAAGTGCTGCTCGCGAACAACGAACTATGAAGGCCGGCACGGCACACGACGGAGTGGTGTGGCTAACATCCCCAGCCCGGCCGCCTTTGTGTCCCTAGTGGCGATGTTTGCACACAACACCAGGTACTCATTTGAGGCTGAGTCGACCTATGGGAGGTCCAGGACCGGTTCAGATAATCGTCGCTGTGTTTTGACCGTGAGTGGGAATCGAACTCGGGTCGCCGGGTTCGTAGCGCAGCGTAGCGCTGGCCGCGACACCGCCGCTCACCACTACACAAAAAACGACAGAGACACAGGCAAAGATCCACCGTGTAGCCTTAACATACTGTTGGGGCAAGTGCGCACACACACTCTCACAAACACTCACTCCGCACCTCAGATTAGTGCGGTTGGCTACGTGCGGTGCGAGAGAAGTCCAACGTACGTACAAAACACAGACACACAGACACACACAGACACACAGACACAGACACACACACAGACACACACACAGACACACAGACACACACACAGACACACACAGACACACAGACACAGAGACACACACAGAGACACACACACAGAGACACACACACAGACACACACAGACACACACACAGACACACACACAGACACACAGACAGACACACACACAGACACAGACACAACACACAGACACACACACACAGAGACACACACAACACACACAGACACACACACAGAGACACACACAACACACACACACAGACACACATACACAGACACACACAACACACACACACAGACACGCACATACAGACACAGACACACACACAGAGACACACACAACACACACACACACAGACACACACACAGACACACACAGACACACACAGAGAGACACACACAGATACACACACGCAGAGACACACACAACACGCACACACAGACACACACACACAGACACACACACAGAGACACACACAACACGATGCGTGCGAGGGTGGAGTGGGTGGAGTGCGAGGGTGGAGTGGGTGGAGTGGGTGGAGTGGGTGGGTGGATGAGAGCGAGCGTGTTGCGCTGGAGCTACTCTGCGCTACGAACCCGGCGACGCGAGTTCCATTCCGCGCTCACGGCCACCAACAGCGGTGACGATTGTCTTAACCGGTTGTGGGCCTCCGCTAAGGTCGGCTCAGCCTCAAATGAGCACCTGGTGCGACGATGCGGATTAAACATCGCCACTGGGGAGACAAAGGGGGCCGGGCGTGGGGTGCCGGCCAAACCCCCCCTTCGTGTCCCGTGCCCGGCCTTCATAGCGCGCTGCTGCTCGCTAACAGCACTTGCCCCAACAGCCTGTCGAGGCTACGCGGGGGATCTTTGTCTGTGTGTGTGAGAGAGAGAGAATGACAAAGCTTCGTCTAGCGGTGACCCCGCGAGACCCCTGGTGACCCGATTAGACCGTCCCCAGTGTTCGGTCAGACAATGCCCCCCCCCTCGCTCCCATTGTTCACTCGGGGCACACAAAGACAGCGATCCCCCCCCCCATCGCAGCCTCTCCCGAATCCAGAGGTCGCAAACGGGTTTTGATTCCTTACCCGTACCCGGCCGCACCAGGGTCGCAAACGGGTACCCGTACCCGGCCGTACCCGTACCCTACCCGTACCCTACCCGGGTACGCGTACGGGTATCGGGTACCTGATTGCGACCTCTGGGATGAAGCTATGTTGCAGGCGCGGGTGGGTTGATTCTAGGAAGTTGAATTGTGAGAAGAGACAAGACGTTGGGAAATGAGTGACAAACAGTTACTCACCAGGTGACTCACGGTCTACCCGTACCCGTACCCGGCCGCACCAGGGTAGCCGGGTATCGGGTAGGGTACGGGTATCGTGTACCCGGTTGTGACCTCTGCCCGAATCCCACCCGCGCCTCTGCGCACGCGGCCGTGTTTGGTCGATGAGTGGGACGTGTCGCGTGCGGTGTGCACGTGGCTGCGTGTGGGTCACGCGCGCCTCCTGCAAACGCGCGGACGGGTGGGACGGTCGCGGCTTGCGAGCGGCTACCGTCGACGGGGGTGGCGAGCGCCAGCGATCGGCGGGGGGGCTGCGTCTGTAGCCGCAACAGAGGAACGTTGCACGGTGACTGGGATGGCCGATCAGGGAGAGTCGCGCTCTTTACGCGTGGCGGCGTTCACACGAGAAGGCGCGTGTTTTTTTTGCAAGAATGCGGTTCTTGCTTTCGGGAACACTTTTAGCACAACGCGTGCCGTTACAACGCGGATCGCGCGCCGTTTTCACGCAGAACGTGCGTCCCGTTATAAGGCGGAACGCGTCCCGTTATACCGCGGAATGCGTCCCGTTATAACGCGGTTTCTGAGCGGGCAACGACGAACTACTTTCTTGAGTTGCGCGGCTGAGCGGTGCGGTGACCGCAAGACGCGGAGTGATGCCGTGATGCTTCATTCCGACATTCGTGCTCAAGCTACGCGCCGACCTTTGGATACTCGAACGCGCGAACAAGCAAGGACCGCTCTGTGTGGAGCTGCCGAACGTTGGCCGATATCGCCCCGCCTGTTGTCTCATTCATCTCTGCCCGGCCAACAGCTGACGTGCACGTTTATTTATATAAACAGATGACTTGGTGCGGCTGATGCGTTTGATAATGGCACACAAGCACATCCGTGAACAACATTACCAACATCATCATCATTTAAAAGGGCCATTGCCCAAAGCGTCGCCTATCATATAAATGTTTTTTTCTTTCCTTTTCAGGCCACACAGTGTTATTGACGAACGTGCTGGTGATACTATTTGACGAATCCATCCATTGGCTCTCCAACGGCTTCAGCGTCACACTCCACGGCAGGCGCATCACGTGGTTCACTGATGGACGCGATTCGTATTCTACACAATCCATGGGTACGTGTCTCGGTATGTGTTTTGAATCCTGTATATATATTTGTTAAATATATATTAAGAAATATTTACTTTATTATCTTCGAAACATAAGTTCACCATTTCGGAGAGCCACGCGGTATTTGATCTCGTGACATATCATCGCCATCGTCGTCGTCACCATCATCTATCCACTGCTGGATGGAAGAATCCGTCCACCCACTCCGTGGCCACCCTTCACGGTCCCCGCGCGGCCGCGATCCACATCAGCTGATACCAGCGCTCCATCTCCACGGAGCTCGCCCACCCAAGCGCTTCAGTCTCCCGGATCCTTTGGCTGTTGATCCGTCACCAGTCTCGCCCGTCGGATCTCCATCATGGCGCCCAGCTCACGCCCACAGGCCACAGGCCCACTTAGCTGCTCCACATCGCTTGTCAATTATATCTTCGTGTGGTTTATTTCATCCATTTCCCCCTCTTGCTGCCTCTGAGTGCAACAATAATAATAATAATCGTGATGATGATGATAACATCGGACATTCTTCATAAAGAAGGGTAATGGCCTGAAACGTCGCCAATGTGTTAAGCTTTAAATTTCGATTTAAAGCTTTCGTGACTGCAGGGATTCATCTTCTTGGTTCTTTCGGTAAAGTCACGTAGAAGGGAAGTAATAAAATAATAAAAATAATACAATTAAAACATAATAAAATACAATTCTCACGACGTTTCGGCCACAACGCAAGCATCCGTCCTCAGGTGAAGAACAGGTCTGTCGGAAAGACAGCGTCTGAATGAACACCATCAAGCTTAACCCCTAACCCAGCTTAAATATACGCTGCCAAGCTTGGTGGTGTTCATTCAGACGCTGTCTTTCCGACAGACCTGTTCTTCACCTGAGGACGGCTGCTTGCGTTGTAGCCGAAACGTCGTGAGAATTGTATTTTATTATGTTTTATTTTTATTATTTTATTTCCCTTCTACGTGACTTTACCGAAAGAACCAAGAAGAATGTGTTAAGCTGTTGTTGTTGTTCGTTGCGCTCGTGCGCCGCTGAACAACGTAGCAGCAGCATCAGCAGCATCGCCGAATCATTCGTGTGGTTTGTGGAGAGGGCTTACTCAAGCGGCATCTGTCAACATCAGTTGACGAGCACGTCTGCACATTCATCGTTGACCGCTGTGTTTAGGCCACGTGGCGACCTGGCCCATTGTGTGTTGTGGGCACCCTCCGCCACCCGACGCAGCGAAGATCGCACTCGTCATACTCTTTGGTTCTTTCGGTAAAGTCACGTAGGTAAATAAATAAATAGATCACGACGTTTCGATCGCAACGCAAGCAACCGTGATCAGGTGGGACAACCACAGCAAGAAAAAAACTGTTGATAACAGTCGTTTCCGCTCGCTCGCCTGCCCGAGACTGCGTCAATGCTCCTCGGGACAGACACCCAGGAAGTGAGACACAGACACACAGGAAGTGAGACACACAGGAAGTGAGACACAGACACACAGGAAGTGAGACACAGACATCCAGGAAGTGGGGACTGTCTCTGACGCTCGGCCACCCGAGTTTGAACCCCAATTTCGGCTGACTTACAAATGAGAAACCTCGTGCATTGCGCAAAACAATCAGCACTTGGGAGACAAAGGCGATCGGGCATGGTGCTGGTCACCCACCCGCTCGTGTGCCGTGCCGGCCTTTATAGGTGCTCGCAAACAGCACTTGCCCCCCAAGGGGCTGTTCAGGCTACCAGGCGGGTGGATCTCTGACTCCGGAGCAGATGGGCAGGCGTGAAGCGAGCCGACATTTGGGCCGTCAAGTCGATACGTGGATGCATTAAGGCCGATAGTGACCTCACGCACTCAGCCAATCATCCCTTCCGGGTCGATACAATCGCTACCACTTTGACAAAGTAAACACAAGCTGACACACACGTACACCGAAAGAAAGGCGCGTGCGCGTGCACGCACAGAAGACAAAGGTCACCCGTATAGCCTCACCAGACTGTTGTGGCAAGTGCCGTTAGAGAGTAGCAGCACCTATGAAGGCCGGCACGGCACACGAGGCGGTGGGTGGCCAGCACCACGCCCGGCCGCCTTTGTCTCCCGAGTGGTGAGAGGTGGCGCAGTGGTTAGCGCAGTGCACCGTGAACCCGGCCGTATAAGTTCGTTTCCCAGCCACGGCTCTACATTGAACTGAGCGAGCCTCCCCTAGGTCGACTCAGCCTTAACCGAATACCTGGTGCGGTGTGTAAAAGACCACCCAATAATTAGAACAGCACTTGGCGATACTGGGGATAATTACGATGATTGTATAACTCTGGACTCATCATATTTACATTCACTCCTTCCCGACAAGCCCCCACTCTCTCTCGCTCGCTCTCATTGCCTCGTGTAATTCTCGCACCGCAGTGAACACTCAGCTCTGTCACGCGACTCAGATTCCACTCAATTCGCCTCGACCCCACGCAACGCAACGCGACTGCGACCCAAACTCTCCACCCGCCTGGCATCTCGGCACGGCGACGAGACGAACACTCCCCCCGTGTACTCGCATCGCGATACATTTACATCCATCATCATCATCATCATCACCGCTGGATGAATGACCCCTCCACCTCCTCCACCTCCTCATGGTCATCGTCCCAAGGCGTTTCCACTCTTCTCGCGATCTTGCGACGGAACCATGAATCCAACCCACCGCTGCTCGTTTACAAACAAAAGACAAAGATCCCCCGTATAGCCTTAACATACTGTTGGGGGCAAGTGCTGTTAGCGAGCACCTATTACGGCCAGACCGGCACACGAGGGGCTGGAGTTGCCAACACCATGCCCGGCTGCATTTGTCTCCGCAGTGGCGATGTTTTGACACACCGCACCAGGTATCAATCTGAGGCTGAGTCGACCTAGGGGGAGACCCAGGACCGGTTCAGATAATCGTCACCGACGTTGCCGGTGAGCGGGAATCGAACTCGGGTCGCCAGGTTTCGTAGCGCGGCGCACTACCCGCTACACCACCTCGACACAGACACACGCATTGCGGCACCCTCTCTAAAACATCAGAGACGTCCTGCCGTCAATACCCTCGTCTCTCGCACGACCCCTCGTCTCTCGCACGACCCCTCGTCTCTCGCACGACCCCTCGTCTCTCGCACGACCCCTCGTCTCTCGCACGACCCCTCGTCTCTCGCACGACCCCTCGTCTCGCGCACGACCCCTCGTCTCTCGCACGACCCCTCGTCTCTCGCACGACCCCTCGTCTCTTGCACGACCCCTCGTCTCTCGCACGACCCCTCGTCTCTTGCACGACCCCTCGTCTCGCGCACGAACCCGCAGGCGACGGAGAGATGACGGCTGCAGCGCGCGTTACGTTCGGCAGAGCTCACGACTTTCGATTTTCCTCGTCATCCCAAACCCAATTCTCTTGCTCCTCCATTGCCATCGCTTTGCCCCCCCCCCCCCCCAACGTTTGTGCTTTTAAATGGTGTAGATTGGGAACTCGTTTCTTTGGGACTGCTCTTAATCTTCTTGGTTCTTTCGGTAAAGTCACGTAGAAGGGAAATAATAACATAATAAAAATAAAACATAATAAAATAATTCTCACGACGTTTCGGAGGCAACACAAGCTTCCGTCTTCAGGTGGAACCGTCACAGCACGACTGCTGTATCGAGTAAGTCGTGCTGTGACGGTTCCGCCTGAAGACGGAAGCTTGTGTTGCCTCCGAAACGTCGTGAGAATTATTTCATGTTTTATTTTTATTATTTTATTATTTCCCTTCTACGTGACTTTACCGAAAGAACCAAGAAGATGAATCCCTGCAGTCACGAAAGAAGCTTTCAATCGAAACTGCTCTTAATGTTTAGTTTGTTGTCCCCCCCCCCCCCACACCTCCGATTGGCGCGGTTGGCTACGTACGGTGCGAAGGAAATTCAACGTTTCGGAGTGTTTGGAACCCCAACTGGTTCCGCGTCTCGGCATCTCCAGCCTGCCATCTCCGCCCTCAGTTAATCTGACTCGGTTATTGAAATCACCGACGTTCAAGCGTGTTTACAGCATAATCGGAATTATTTTATTTTTCTTAAAGTTTCATTTGTTTTAAATCTGCAATTGTGCAATGCTGCGATGTTGTCTGCCGGCGGAATTGCCCTTGGCAAAATCATATCTCCTTAGCTCAATGGACTTTGCTTGCGACTTGCGGCTTAATCATTACGGATCCCTTCAATAGCTTGTTCTGCACCATGATGATTGTGGTGATTGTATAAGATTCGAGCAGGCCACGTGATGCGAGTTTTGGTTGAGATACAGGACACACATGTATATATGTTTTAATGAGCAGGGATGAATCATAAAAGTTTAATTGGCGGCGTTAATAATTAATTGATGTAGCGGCCACGTGGTGCGCGTGACGTCCTATGCCCGTGTGTATATTACATTTATTATAATTACTAAAAAAATTGAGGTTATTCTAACATCTGCTATTATTATTATTCTTTAAACCGTGTAAATATGCATTATATACAAATACGGAGTTTCAGAAACGTCCAAACACACAAGTGCGCGAATTATATTCTCAAAAACGGTTTTTTTTTATTAATCTAAATTTGCAGTGTGAGATTCATATTTCCAAGAAATCAATAATCCACAATGCATTACCTTACGATCTCTGAATCTGCCATTCTATCAAAATACCAATGTGCCTATCAATATATTCCTATTTAGAAACATGGACCTGTCTGTCAATATTTGTCTCGTTTATCGGATTTGGCAATTATATATATATTTAATGTACAGCGCTGTGCGATGCAGTTATCATGAATGACGCGATACAAATTTAAAGTATTGTTATTTGGTTATGTAGCTGTAATATCATCTATTAATTTGTCTGGTTATGTTCACCTGGTTCTGTCTCCATACATCTATAATGATGTCAAATCTCAGCTCTGTAGCCCTTCTAGAACAAACCGAGAGCTGAATGTACAACATTCACTCTCTAAATCAAGGTCGTCTCGAGGTGTGACATTAAACCACGTGATATCGTGTTATGGTTTATAATCGGTGGTAAAACTTCGGGGTGTGGATACATGGCTTGGGTGAGTGATGCGTTTCGGGATCAGGGATTCCACCGGGTTCCCGCGTTCGGGTTAAGTTTGGGGTCAGTGTTAGAATTGTTTTTGGGGTACTTATGATTTCGGGTTAGCCCTGTGGGTCAGGGTAATGATTGCTGTTCGGGATATCGGACCGGGATTAGAGGGATAAGGCCTTCTTGACACTATCGACGTATCCCAGATAAATCTGTGCCGTCAATCTACGAGTGGATCGAGAGCCCACGATGGTGCGCAAGGGATAGCGATGGTGGAAGAGAAACTCTCTCCAAAGGTCGCATTACACAAGGGTCACGATGTGACCTGCAGAGCAGACGAGTGGCCGCTTCACGCAGACATTGGACGACGTTGCCGTGATTGCTCGCGAGTGACCTCCGTTGAGAGATGGCTCCTCCTCCTGCTGCTCCTGCTGCTGCTCCTCCTCCTCCTCCTGCTTCGCCTGCTCCTCCTCCTCCTGCTGCTCCTGCTGCTGCTGCTGCTGCTGCTCGTCCTCCTCCCCCTGCTCCTCCTGCTGCTCCTCGCTTAACGCGTGGTTTTCACGCTACAAAGCGTTTTCACTATAACGCGGTTCTGTCCGTTTGGGAACACTTTTCACGCAACGCGGAACGCGAACCTCGTTACAACGCGGAACGATCGCCCCGTTATAACGCGGTTTCTGAGCGAACTACTTTCTCGAGCTGCACAGCCGGGCGTAATGATACGGTGGCGCGGAATGATACGGTGACGCGGCAGCGTACCGTCGTCTCGGTTCTTTGTCCTGCCACGGGATGACTGCAGGACGAGTTGGGGCCGCAGTCCAAATGCGATTCCAATTCCTCGCTCAACGCGGGTTTCTCTTCACGCTGGAACTTTCCAGGAACGCGTTCTGCTGCCGCGTCAATCGATTGGTTGAGAAATGAACGCACTGATTTGGAGACGTTGCTGCTGCTGCTGCGTTGGTAGTGGTGCACAAGCAGTGTCAACAACAATAACAATACTTGCATTTTATTTAGTGTCATTCATGCCAATGGCATCCCACAGCGCTCCACAGTATTCATATATAAAAGGAAAAAATCCCATATACGCGAACTACAACAACAACAGCAACAACAACACCACTACGTGTGAGTGGCCGGCATTAAAATAGATAAATATAATTACAGGCGATGTTTCGGGCGATGGCTATGAAGAAGGGCGATTGTCCGAAACGTCGCCTATTACGTACGTGTTGGGTTTTTTCTCTCAGGGTCACACGCACACACGCGCGCGGTGCCATTGAGAGACGCGATGATGATGATGATGATTCACAACACAGATGAAGCTGACATCAGCTACACACCTTTAACTCGCCCTAACTGGCTGTTGGGACAAGTGCCGTTAACGAGCGCCTATGAACGCCGGCACGGCACGCCAGGGAGTGGGTGGCCAGCATTAAGCCCGACCGCCTTTGTCTCCCCAGTGGCGATGTTTTGCACATCGCATCAGATCACTAATTTGAGGCTGAGTCGACCTAGGGGAGGTCCAGGACCGGTTCAGATAATCTTCACTGATGTTGGCCGTGAGCGGGAATCGAACTCGGGTCGCCAGGTTCGTAGCGCAGCGCGCTAACGACTACACTACCGCTCCCCACTACACGCACACACCCGCACACACGCACACCCGCACACACGCACACACGCACACACACACACGCACACACCCGTACCCACACCCGCACACATACCAACACCCGTAGGCACGCGCACACACGCGCACACACCCGCACACATACTAACACGCACGCACGCACACACACACACTAACACACCCGCATACACACATAGTAACACGCAGATAACTAACACGCATACACTAACACACACACACTAACACACACCCGCACGCACATACACCCGCACGCACATACAGACACACGCACACACCCGCATACACGCACGCATACACACTCACTAACACACACACACTAACACACACACACTAACACACACACACGCTAACACACTCACTAACACACACACTAACACACACACACTAACACACACACTAACACACACACACGCAGACGCACACACATGCACACTAACACACACACTAACACACACGCAGACGCACATACACACACGCACACACACTAACACACACACACTAACACGCACACCCACACACTAACACACACACTAACACACACACACACGTACATACACACACTAACACACACACTAACACGCACACACGCAGACGCAAACACACTAACACACACTCACTAACACACACACTAACACACATACACGCACACACACACTAACACACACACACTAACACACACACACTAACACACTAACACACACACTAACACACACACTAACACACACACTAACACACACTAACACACACACTAACACACACGCACTAACACACACACTAACACACACACTAACACACACACACACTAACACACACACACTAACACACACGCACTAACACACACGCACTAACACACACACTAACACACATATACTAACACACACACACACGCACACACACACTAACACACACACACTAACACACACAACAACAACCGCCATTCGCCACTAAGTGGCGGTGACGTCACCACGATGCTTGTGCCAGGCCAAGTGCACCTTGAGGCCACGTGAAGTGTCGAACGCCCGCCGGCAGACGCAAACACACTAACACACACTCACTAACACACACACTAACACACATACACGCACACACACACTAACACACACACACTAACCAACATACACACTAACACACTAACACACACACTAAAACACACACACACACACTAACACACACACACTAACACCCACACACACTAACACACACACTAACACACACTAACACACACTAACACACTAACACACACTAACACACACACACGCACACACACACTAACACACACACACTAACACACACACTAACACACACACACTAACACACACGCACGCAGACGCACGGCAGAGCGTCACGAGGCGCCCCCCGCCCCCCGTGAGACGCGGACTGTCATCGCAAAGGGCGGTCGGGAATCGGCTCGCAGATGTCTGAAAGCAAAAGAGACTCAGACGACGCATTGTGACCCCAGGGGGTGGGGGGCTGGGGAGTGGGGGGTGGAGGGGGGGCGTGGGTGGAGGGGGGGCGATGATACTGAGTGCGTCGTGAACCCTGAACCCTAACCCTGTCCACCCCCCCTCAACCTGACATCTGCCCCCCCCTACACCCCCCCCCAATCCCCATCCTACACCCCCCAATCCCCATCCTACACCCCCCCCCCAATCCCCATCCTACCCCCCCCCATCCCCATCCTACACCCCCCCCCCCAATCCCCATCCTACACCCCCCTCCCCTCCACTCCCAAACACGACCCCCGGCGCCCCTAGAAGCAGATGGCAAGCCTCGGCGTGTGAGTGCGAGTGTGTGTGTGTGTACGTGTGTGTGTACGTGTGTGTGTGTACGTGTGTGTGTACGTGTGTGTGTGTGTGTGTGCGCACGTGTGTTTGTGTGTGTACGCGTGTGTGTGTACGTGTGTGCGTGCGTGTGTGTGTACGTGTGTGCGTGTGTATGTGTACGTGTGTGCGTGTGTATGTGTGTGTGTATGTGTGTGTGTGTACGTGTGTGCGTGTGTATGTGTACGTGTGTGCGTGTGTATGTGTGTGTGTATGTGTGTGTATGTGTGCGTGTGTGTTTAAGAGGGATTTGGGGAGCGTTTGCGCAGTGGTTGGCCCTTGCCTTACGAACCCGGCGAGCCGCGAGGTGGATTCCCGCTCACGACCAATGCCGGTGACGAATCCTGGATCTGAACCGGTCCCGGGCCTCCCCTAGGTCGACTCGGCCTCAATTGAGTGCGGGATTACCAACGTCCCGGCCTTCATAGGTTGCTCGCCAACATCGCACTTGTCCCAAAAGTGGATTAAGGCTACGCGGGGGATCTTTGTCTGTGTACGCGCGGTAGTGCACATTGCACACGCGTCGTGCGGACATTTGTCGCACGCGGAGACGGAGCGGTGATGACATCGGCTCTCGACTGGGATCGTGAAAGGTGGTGGTGGCAGCAGCTCGGGGGAGACCTTCATCCAGCAGTGGATCGTCCATGTAATTATTTAGTTTATTATTGTAATTAATTATTCATCGCCTGTCTCTGTTGTCATCACAGTTCCAGAGGCGAATCTCCCCCCCACCCCCTCGTCGACGTCCTGGAAGGATTGTGGCAGAGCGACTTCTTCATTCGGGAATGAATCTACGGTGAGTGACGTGCGCCGCTACAATTCCCCGGGCTCAGAGGCGGGCTATGAAGAGGGGCCGTTGCCCGAAACGTCTCCAATTTAATTAATTTAGTTTATTTTAAGGCCACGGTCTTGTCGACGAGTGCGTTAATTTTTTATTGGGGTGTGGGTTTTGGTGAGCAATTAGCGATTTAAAAAAATATGTCGACGTGTTAAAAGCGCATTAAAATAATCTCCATTGATCACTCACGGAGACCCCATTGATCACTCACGGAGACCCCATTGATCACTCACGGAGACCCCATTGATCACTCACGGAGACCCCATTGATCACTCACGGAGACCCCATTGATCACTCACGGAGACCCCATTGATCACTCACGGAGACCCCATTGAGTCTCACGACTCCTTGTCAGGAGGGTGCTGCCACATTGGGGATGTGTGGCCACGAATTCCACTCGTGATAATTTGCTGGCTTCGTGTGGATCTATGGGTCCCTGTGTGAGTCTGTGGGTCTCTGTGCGAGTCTGTGGGTCTCTGTGTGAGTCTGTGGGTCTCTGTGCGAGTCTGTGGGTCTCTGTGCGAGTCTGTGGGTCTCTGTGTGAGTCTGCGGGTCTCTGTGCGAGTCTGTGGGTCTCTGTGCGAGTCTGTGGGTCTCTGTGCGAGTCTGTGGGTCTCTGTGTGAGTCTGTGTGTATCTATATTTGGTCTGTGGATCTTTGTGTGAGTCTGTGAGTAATTGTGTGAGTCTGTGGGTCTCTGTGTTAAGTCTGTGGGTCTCTGTGTGAGTGTGTTTGTCTCTGTGTGAGTCTGTGTGTCTCTTTGTTAGGTCTGTGGATCTGTGTGAGTCTGACGGCTCTCTCTGTGTTAAGTCTGTGAGTTTCTGTGTGAGTGTGTCTGTCCCTGCGTGAGTCTGTGGGTCTCTGTGTGAGTCTGTGGGTCTCTGTGTGAGCCTGTGGGTCTCTATGAATTCCACTCACGACACTTTGGTGGCTTCGTGCGTTGGGGAGAATGCTCAGACAACCCACGACGCGCGACGGCTCCAGTCGCCCCACAGATGGATTCAATCGGGGTTAGCTTCCGAGATCCGACGGTAGCGGGCACGTTTGGCTCCACGATTTGATTCGCCCGGTGGGAAGGTTGCGCAAACTTTGACCGGTTTCCCCAAATCGGAGTCACCTCCCGACAGCGGCCTCTTGCGGCGTCCGTGCGATCTGATTCGTCGGCGCTGATTTCACAGCCGCGTTCCCGATCGTTTGAGCGAGCGACTTACGCAGCGGTGCACGAAGCACGATGAACAACACACGAACCAAACTCACAAACGTTCGTTAGTTACAGTGTGTGGCCCTAAAAACAGTAAATATATATGATAGGCGACGTTTCGGGCAATGTCCCTTCTTCACAGCAGATACATAGAGTGGTGGGTCGAGAGACGGAGTGGGTGGCAATAGTTTGCGACTGCACGTGCTCACAACATTGGGCCCTGGCGATGCGAATCACATTGCTACAAATGTGTTCTGATGACCCGGTGTTTAAATAGACTTGCGAAAAGTTAAGAGTGATGCAGCAGTGGCTATTGGGTAACAGAAAAACCCTTCAATAATCAAAACTGATTACTTTACGAAATACAAGCATTTGTAGAGTTTCTGGCACATTGCATTGATTTTTCGATCCACAGTTAAGCAATCAAATCGCCCTGACGCAAGTAAAAATAAGCGGTTGTCTTAGTTTAGCAGCACAATCGCTTTCTATAATAGTTTGCCACTCAATCGCCCGCAACTGCTTTGTCCACCCCTTAGCGAGTGGTTGCGCATTGAGGCCGTTACACTGCGGGTCCAGGATCGTCACGGCCAATCAGACACAATGGGTCGCTAAATTACGCGCGATGAAAGACGCTGCTGTTAATCGGTCGCGTCTTCATCGTCACCGTCATCATCATCGTCAGCCCACTGCTGGACCGCGTTAGGTGGCGGCACGTGATGGAGGGAAGCCTTCATACAGCAGTGGATAGACAACGGCTCAGGTAGACAAAGTGCAGGTCTCGGACGTCTCGTTCTGACGTTGTGGGGATATTAATGGCGTTCGCGTGGGGCTCACGACGTTCAGCGTTTGGAGATGCAATTTGCACGAAGGACGCGAAATGAAAACTAAATAATTATTATTGATAATTATAATATTGAGGCCGTCTGTTGGCCGAAATGGAGAACCCGATCGATTACTCTGCCAATTGAAGTATTGATTGCGTCTAAAAGTAAATTTAAAAAAGAAAGATGCCTTTTAAAATGACGAGACGTTCAAAGTGTCGATCGGATTGCGATGGTGTCACGTTGGCGAGGCGGCGAGACGACGCGGGGGGGGGGGGGGGGAAGACTTCGTGGCAGGCGATCGAAGATGCCGGCTCCGACACGCACAGCTTGTGAGCGATTGTGAGCGAGAGATTCGCGCCGTGAAGAACAACAACAACGTCAATGACATCGTCCGTCCTGCACACTCAGCGTGGGCTGTCTGTTCGATAATCGTAATCGATGTCGTCGTGTGATTAATTGATATGTCGACGATCTGTCCCGCCACTCGAGAATAGATTAGTAAATACTTTTTTCAAATTTTCTTGCTGTGGATTTCACACCTGATGATGATTGCTTGTGTTGCAGTCGAAACGTCGTGAGAATTTTTATTGTTTTATATTTGTGTTATTTTGTTATTTCCCTTCTACGTGACTTTACCGAAAGAAGCAAGAATATAGATACAGCTGTTGTTTAAGCAACCTATTGTTACCAGTGTTTACGTGTTATTGGTTCTTCCGGTAAAGTCGCGTAGAAGGGAAATAATAAAACAATACAAATTTAACGTAATAAATTAAAATTCTCACGACGTTTCGGCCACAACAAAAGCAGCCGTCCTCAGGTGAAGAAACAGAGCTGTCGGAAAGACAGCGTCCCAATGAGTGGCTGTGAATATTATAGTTAAGTTGCTTTGCGGGCGAATGTGGTGGGATTCCTCAACTACAGACGAGAGCAGTGGGATAATCACAATCCCTATCGCCTCCAACGCAGCAGCGTTCAATAATCAATTACTCAGTTCGCTTTAATCAGTTACGCACACACTCACTATTGTATTGTTACGCGGGCGCAGAAGTTAAATTATATATTTCTATTTAAAGCTTTCGTGACTGCAGGGATTCATCGTATTGGTTCTTTCGGTAAAGTCACGTAGAATGGAAATAATATTATGTTTTATTTTTTATTATTTTATTATTTCCATTATACGTGACTTTACCGAAAGAACCAAGAAGTTCAAATATATGTTTAACATTTACAGCCGCCTTGCCAATCCACTGCTGGATGAAGGCCTCTCACCAACGGCCCGTGTCGGTCGTGGGGGTTGTTTGACCACGCTGGTCAGTGCGTGTTGGTGACGGGGGGCTGCAGTGGGGAACTGGTATTTTGTTTTGAAGAGGGGCCTTTGCACCGAAACGTCGAATGTGTTTGTGTTTATGCGGCCGCTAATCGGTTGGTATGTAAACATGTATGTTTGTATGCTTTTTACATGAGAAAAAAACCATTCAGTAATAAAGGATAATAAAATATAAATAATGGAAAATAATTATAGCCGTGGTCTGCTTTTGTTCGCGGCTGTGTGAATCTTGCGCTGTGTGACACGTGTAACGCGTCAATAAGCGAGTGTGTGTGTGTGTATTGGAGTAAGCGCTGTTAGCGAGCCCCTATTAAGGTCGGCGCATGAATTGGAGTGGTGTGGGCCAAATACTACGCTCGTACGCCGTTGTCTGCCCCCAATGCTGATGTCTGTAGGATACACGAGGGATCATCTTTCGGCCTTTGTTCACGTAACATTCGCGTGTGCGTATGTGTGCCGTGCTAAGTAGACAGCACTTGCCCCAAAAGTCTTTAAAGGCTATTCGGGGGATATTTGTCTTTATCGTGCATTGGAGACAAAGGCGGCCGGGCGTGGCGCTGGCCACCCACCCTCTTCGTGTGCCATGCTGGTCTTCATAGGCGCTACCCGCTAACAGCACTTGCCCCAGAAAGTATGTTAAGGCTGTACGGGTACCTTTGTCTTTATACCATTACATGAAATTCGCGCGATTCGCTGGCGCGGTGCATAGCGCAGTGCGCCACGATGCCGCCACCCGAGTTCGATCCCGGGCTACGGCGAGCATCAATGTGAAACCTGTTCCCCGGGCCACCTCTAGGTCAACCCAGCATTAAAATTTAGTACCTGGGGGGAGACAAAGGCGGCCGTGCGTGGTTCTTGCCACGCCAACCCTGCAGCGCGCGCTGTGCCGGCTTCAGTAAATACGTGATCGCTCACCGCACGTGTCGCCCCCAAATAATGTCATGAACATCATTAAAAATATATATAATAATCATCATCATGAGCCGTGATCTCTTCACTGCTGGATGAAGCCATCGCCTCGTCTCACGACACTGCCATGTTCGCGATCCGCCATCGCTCCATCTCCTCCTTCCCGCCGACGTTTCGAGCGGCGTCCTCATTCAAGACGAAGGTCACAAGGAGAGGGTCACGGTGACCCAGTGACACAGACACAGAGACAGTCGAGAGGAGGGGAGAGGGGGGGAGGAGCCCCCCCCACGCCCGCCTCGGTGACGTCACCGCGAAACTGAGCACTGCGGCAAATCGTGCCGCAGTGAACCCCCTCCACACACACAGACACAGACAAAGGTGCCCCGCGTAGCCTCCGACTGCCTGGTCGGGGCAAGTGCTGTAGGTGACCGGCAACCACACAAACATACGACGACGTAGAGACGCAGCACCCTGACGCGTACACACAAAGACAAAAGCTCCCCGTATAGACACCACGGACTGGAGGGGCAAGTGCTGTTCGCGAGAACCTACGAAAGCCGACATGGCGCACGAGAGGGTGGTGCGGTCAGAAGCACGCCTGGCCGCCTTTGTCTCCCCGCTGTTTTTTTTTCAAAGACACGGCACGGCAGGTGCTCGTTTGAGATCGAGTCCAATATCGATGCTGACACTCGCCACTGCTGTTCGCGGTGAGCGGGAATCGAACGCGGAACGCCGGGTTCGGTAGCGCGGTGCGCTAACCGCTGCGCCACCGCTCCACAAGGACATGGGGACACATGAACGTACGCGCAGAAGCAAATAACTCCCGCACAGCCCACACGGACTGTTGGGCCGAGTGTTGTTAGCGAGCACCTATTAAGAGCGGACAAGACATACGCACGCACACACAAGACAAATACACCCCGTGTATATATCCGATTAGCACGGTTGGCTACGTACGGTGCGAAGGAAGTTCAACATACATTACAGACTATTGGGGAAAGTGCTGTTTGCGAGCACCTACAAAGACTGGAACGACAGGCGAGGGGGTGGGTGGACAGCGCTACGCCCGACCGCCTTTGTCTTCCTAGTGGCGATGTTTTACGCACCACGCCCGTTACTCATATGAGGCCGAATGGACATAGGGGAGACCCAGGACCGGTTCGTAAAATCATTACCGGTGTTGGCCGTGAGCAGGAATCGAACTCAGGTGGCCGGGTTCGTAGCGTAGCGCACGAATGGCTACACTACAGATGCCCAAATGCATACAAAGACAAAGACACACATACACACACATACACTCGGACAGACACGGACACACACATGACGCATCACAAGAAACACGTGTGTGCTTTCCTTTCGTACGATTAGTTAGAGTACACTAGCCCAAGTCTCCATTATCATCATCACCACCACCATCACCACCACCACCATCATCCACATTATCATCACCATCATCACCACCACCATCATTACCACCACTATCATCACCACCACCGTCATCACCACCATCACCACCACCACCACCATCACCACCATCATCATCACCACCACCACTACCATCATCACCATCACCACCACCACCATCATCACCATCACCACCATCACCACCATCATCACCATCATCACCATCACCACCATCACCACCATCACCACCATCACCACCATCACCACCACCACTACCACCATCACCACCACCACCACTACCGACAGCGGCAGCTCGTCTCACGGTGTGGATCGTGGCCCCGCCGACCTGAGGCCGACTTCCATCCCCAGCTGTTGGCGCCTCCGTTGAGCTCCGCGCGGCTCTGTCTGCTGCAGGGAACGACCGCGGCCCAGAGGCACCCAGCGCCACGTCCAACCCGACACGATCACGACTCAAGCACTTCGTTTGTGATGGTGATGATGATGCTGCTGCTGATTCTAGATTTGAAGTTTTCGTGACCGCAAGGATTCATACTCTTTGGTTATTTCGGTAAAGTCACGTAGGTAAAAAAATTAAAATAAATAAAATAAAATTGATTTAAATTAAAATAAATTAAATTGATTCAATTTAATGATTAGTCAAAATATATATTTAATAGGCAACGTTTCGGGCAATGACCCTTGTGGGGAAGGACCCTTTTGCATCGCACAATGTGTATATGAAAAAGGGACGTTGCCCGAAACGTCGCCTCTTACATTAAATTGATTTCATTTATTTTATTTAAAATTTTTACCTTCGTGACTTTACCGAAAAAACCAAAGAGCATGATGCTGCTGCTGCTGCTTCTGCGTTAGCACGGGTGCACGAGTCAATGACGACCACAAAATGTAAGAGGCGACGTTTCGGGAAACGTCCCTTTTTCCTATACACATTGTGCGATGCAAAAGGGTCCTTCCCCACAAGGGTCATTGCCCGAAACGTTGCCTATTAAATATATATTTGACTAATCAGTCGAGTATTGTCTTAAAACTCCTCATTGGCTTTGTTGTAAAGAATAGCTGACACAAGATACCAATATATTAATATACCAGTCTATACGTGACAAAATATACGAATATATAAACAATGCAATCTATAAAGGATAAAATACACCAATATATAAACAATGCCAGTCTACAAGTGACCAAATATACAAATATATACATCGATAATAGAGTTGTTTGGCTTAGATCGCGCAAAAATATAAATGTGTCGTTAAACCCGCCACCACCCGACACAGCCAATTAGTAATGGGTTTGTCACGTAAACAGCACGTGACCAATTCGTCACTCAGATTGTAAATGTTGTGGCTGGGCTCTCCAACACACCGGTTAGTGCTGTACTAGTGACGAATTGGCCACGTTCTGTTTACGTGACAACCCTTACTAGTTGGCTGTGTCGGGTGGTGGCGGGTTTAACGACACAACATTTATATATTTACGCGATTAACCCAAAAAAACCTCTACTATGGATGATATTGGTCGTGAAAGCCGACTGCGTGTTAAACAAATCTACAACGATACCAGTCAATAAGCGACAAAATATACCAACGTGCAAAACCGCCTCCGTCACGGATCTCATCCTCCACGTAAACAACAATGAAAATACTCTTCGGTATTTTCGGTAAAGTCACGTAGGTAAAAATAATTAAAATAATAATAGAAATAATAATAATAGAAATAAAATAATAAATAAAAGCGATAAATGAAAGTGATTTATTATTTTGTTTCTATTATTATTTATATTATTTTTATTATTTATTTTTATTATTAATTTTTATTACTTATTTTTTACCTACGTGACTTTACCGAAAAAACCTAAGAGTATGAATCCTTGCAGTCACGAAAGCTTCAAATCTAGAAACAACGAAAATGTGTGTGTGTATAAAATAAAAAAATACGAATATTTCTATTTGTGTACACATCTTCTGTAAGTGCAGCAGCAGCAGCAGCAGCAGCAGCAGCAGCAGCAGCAGCAGCAGCAGCAGCAGCAGCAGCAGCAGCAGCAGCAGCAGCAGCAGCAGCAGCAGCAGCAGCAGCAGCAGCAGCAGCAGCAGCAGCAGCAGCAGCAGCAGCAGCAGCAGCAGCAGCAGCAGCAGCAGCAGCAGCAGCAGCAGCAGCAGCAGCAGCAGCAGCAGCAGCGCAGCAGCAGCAGCAGCAGCAGCCAGCAGCAGCGTGGTTTTGGCGGTGATCTTCGTGGAGTTTGAAGACGTCCGCTCAACTCGTGGCGGCCTTCGCTGCGACGTTTCCGAACGGATTCGTCGTCTCGCGAGATGATGCCCAGACGACGATTTGAATCAAAGTACAGACATGACATATTATTGGTTCTTTCGGTAAAGCCACGTAATAATAAAATAATAAAAATTAAACGTAATATTATGTTTAAATGTTTTTATTTTATTATTTCCCTTCTACATGACTTTACCGAACGAACCAAGACTATGAATGCCTGCAGTCACGATAGCTTTAAATCGAAATATGGATATGACGTTAGGATTGTGTGTACGTGTGTGTGTGTGGTGATGGTGTGCGTATGTGTGTATGTGCTGGCTAACAGCACTTGCCCCAACCGTCTGTTACGGCTATACGGGGGATTTTTGTTTTTCTGTGTATGTGTGCATTGAGTGCACGCACGAGTGTATGAGTATTCGTATTACATACTCACTGGGAATTCAGTTATTGTCTTCAATGTAAGAGGAGGAGGAAGAAGTTGATGCAAACGAGGACGAGGATTTCACGAAATTATCACCACCACTTCCACCACCAACCACCACAACCACCACCACCACCACAACCACCACTACCACCACTACCACCAC